GTGTGCGGAAGACTTACCTCCACGTGATGCACCGTGGGCAACGTATACTCATACGTCAACAAAGTCTATTAACCGCCAGTGGACTTCTCACTTCCAGCTACAACGACCCCACTGTATGTCATATTCGACTACTTTCCCAGTACTCACCTCACCTTTTCTCTACCTTTTCTACCTTCGTCTTTGAAACACTCTTCTGTCCCCCCCTCCCCTCTCGACTTTTTTTCACTTTGGTATTTCTTCTCCTCTGTGAGGCCTGAAGTCATCTAAAAGGCTAATGAAACTATCAAAATGCCTGCCATTTGATGTAAATAAATATTTTGTAAACAACTTTAAGTTCCTCTCTTGAAGAGATGGACAGTATTCATTAACAAAAAATGATCGCTACTCGTACACTTGGCACTATTTATACTTCTGAGTGCCTATTTCTTGTCAACATAAATATCAAATTCTGTGCATTTTCATACAAGTTTACATTATCTCCATGACGTTCCTAAAATCTAGGAATGTTTTCTATATCACCTTCAAATTTATGCTTTTCTACGCCTTTGCAAAATAAATGCATCTTAACGAATTCATTAACTTAAAAACACGAATACACCGAATCAGCGTTGGTGGACATTCTTTGATGATCAGGCTTTTCAACCAGTTCTGATTACCTTGTCTAATAGCATTCACATGATTCCTAATTTTAAGAAATGCTAATTTGCTTTACCGAATACTATAATAATAAATAGTAATGTTACATTTTGATTGAACCTTGCTCTTATCCAAACAAAGTGAGATAAAGATTACCATTTCAATGAATGGACATTAAAATGTAATTAACGCACATGATAGCTGCTAGTTAATGAAGTGATCAAATTAAGGTCCCTTATCCATCTTTACAGAGTTTAGTATATTAAAAAAGACAATATTAACGTTTGTTATTTATTATCCAAGATTAGTAAAATATCTTAAGTGGTATTCTGGTGTAGAAAAAAATATCGATTTTTTTTGCATATTTTCATAGTTTAACTATTTAAGATATGTCTACGAGAGGATTTTCCAAAATTCAAATTATTTTGGAGAAATAAGTATTTTGCTGAGCATGCATCCAAACCGGTTGGGCTGCAACTAATCGAACAAAAGACATAATGGGTTCTCCGACTACCTGAATCTATATTTCTTAGAAAGCTTTTTTGTTCCGCATATATATATATATATATATATATATAGAGAGAGAGAGAGAGAGAGAGAGTGATTATTTCATTTTTTTAAATAAAATGGATAAAAAATCCTCAGCGCGAAGGATTACGTGTCCAGAGCGATAAAAAAGGCGATTTCACGGCAATAGATTTACAGGACAGGAAAACACCAGTTTTACGAATGCATCAGCAGCAAAGTTGAGGAAATCAAATGATGAAGACGTGGTAATAATTAAGGCTACTGTGTTTTGGAGTTTTCACTGTCTTTTCAGCGATTTCTTCGTTTGTTTCGTGTACTACATGTAACAACGAGATTAGATTTTCAAGAACGGCTCAACGCGGACTCGGGTTCAAAATTGCATTACAATGCAGTTGTTTATTCGTTGACAAATCCTTCGAAGTAAACTGGCGAGTGATATTTGTTATGAGTCTCTAAACTTGATGATATGGACTTTCGCTCCAAAGCATATCCATTCCGGGTCTCAGATCATTGAAATTGTAACATTTATTGCTATGTGTACTTTTCCGCGTGCATTTTTAATGAAGGCTTTATACTGATACTGAAGATAATGACGATTATGGGAATGAAAATTGGTCCAGAAGCGCACGGATTTGCTATCAGACGAGACAACGCCCGGATTGACCGCTCCGAAATACGAGAGTCCAGCGCATCAACGGAGGCCAGAACTGCTCGAATAGAAAATAGAAACTTCGAAAATAGTTCTTTCGAAGTCGAGGAAGGTCCGATGTATGCAGCGGGAATGGTAGATTGAATAAATGTAAGCTAAAAATATAATTTTATGACTTAGACTGCAAAAAATTTTACTTAAAAATTTAAACGCGTTTTTCTCAGAACGGTTTTTTGAATCTGATACCCACGATTTCTCAGGTTCTGCCGAACCGATTTACTTGAAATTTTAAGAGAGCCTTCTTAAGGGACTTGTCTATGTCCAGAACTACGGCCATCCCCAAATTTTCATTTTTACTATTTTTAAAAAAAATCGAAGAATGTTCAAAAAGTGGTACAAAAATGGTTTTTTTCTTTAGACAGTCGCCATTTTGTAAAAAATATTTCTGTAACTTTTCCGTAGTTCCAGGCATAGCGACATTATTGTAGATTGATAATATTTTTTATTTTTTGATTTCAGATAGCTAGGAGAGTTAAAATCGTGGGTCTGGTCGCGCACCAAATTTTTGAGACACCCCACTCCATCAGCTGATAACTTAAGGAATTTAAAAAATTTTTCCTTTTTTATTTTTTTGCATGCTTTAATGAGCGTAAATTATGTATTAAAAATTGATAATAAAAATATTGCTTGCTTTTTTACAGCACCTAAAATTCATGTCATTAGACCAGAATACACCCTCAAGATTGATGTAAAATGATAAATTTGTAAAGTATTTGAAAATAGCACAGTACAACTTCTTTGCTAATTCTTTGGCACAAGATCTTATTCCAATCAGTTGTTTTCTGCTAGTCAAGACGATTTTAATAATAATTTTTCAGAAATGTAACAATAACAGATCTTTTTTAACTACCAATTTAAAACATGGCATTTTCATTAACTTTTTGCATTAATTAGTGTTTAAGAAAAAACCTGTATTTTATTATTTGAAAGTAACATCTTTTATTCATGGAGCTAACAGGCTAGGCGTGGCCTTATGTAATAATCCATTTTCTAAACTTGGGAGTAACTAGCAACAATTAACAGCCTTCGAATAAAGCCTGGCTATGCTTAGTTTCGTGAACATCGAAATTAACAGAAAAAGGCACTGAGAAAGCGTTGCCAAAGTTACTTGTCGAGACTTAAAAATATTTTGTTTTCCTTATTCAGATAAACATGGCTGAAGAAATCGTAATAAAATTTGTTTGGAACCTGTCATGGAGTGGAACACTAGTTCCATTGTTTTCATTAACCAATTCGGAATAGTTCCAACTTTATGGGAATTTTTCTCTGAGTGGAAGCCGTATCTATTGCAAAATGCTTGCATCCGGGATACATTTAGACCTTAATGCAGAGTCTTGTTTCAAAATATCGATCGAGGATGTAAAGATGGAATTTTCTGTGCGCGATTAAAACCTGAGTAGCACTCAAAGAACCTTAAAAGAGTGGATAACGTTGTTGTGGGATGGAAAAATAGGAAATAACATTGAAATTCTAAAATTTATAAATGTATTTAATTACGGTTAACGGCGCATTAATGTTGATCGTTCAGTCAGATAAACCGAGTAAATAGAGTATGTGAACATTGCAACTAATCAATAGTATATTCAATACTTGCCACATATAAAATGAAATTTATCTAAAACAGGTACTAAAGGAGTGCATGGAGTTATCAAAATGTTCCCAAATATGGTAATCCTGAACTTTTCAACAACTGTAATTCCCACAACTTGTCGTAAAAATTTGCTACCCTAATCTAGTTTCAAAATAAATACAAAAGTGCTGGAACATCTAAATAACTTTGTGCAAAGTTATCTTAAATTCGTATAGAATATTTGTTTTTTGCTTCCGCGGATGCCACATACGTCAAAGTGAGCTAAATACAAAGTTGACCTTGAGTGGATTTTAAAAGCTTATCATTGTACAGGTCAACAAAAATTTTATTCCTAGGTAATTGCTTTTGTTGAGTGCAGTTTTATACATGGCAATTTATAATCGAATCAATTGAGCTATTTTTTCCGTTACTTTGTTGGGGTTTATATTAAATATTAAATTTTATAATAGAGATAAATGAACGAAATTTTTAAAGATTCGAGTGTGTCGGATTTATATCATGAATTTGTTTCTAAATCTACCAATGACCCCTATGAAGATGCCGTGAGCTTTCTTAATTTTATTTCTTCTAAAATGGTAAGTTACCATTTTACTTCACCATATTCTGTTCTAGTCAGAGGAATGTATATTAAAACTTCGTTTAAAAGCATCTACTTTCAGGCATGAGGCTGATGATTCTAGTACAATTGAAAGACAGTAAGTTGGAGAATTTATTGCCACCTTCTATTCAATAGGATGAAATTTCTTCTTTTTGTCCAATTTGAACATTCTAAATCTTTGGTTTCAAGTGATAATATTTCTCCTAATGAGGATCTTGCAGATTGGGTATGTATTTTCAGATCTACTTTATAATTCCCTAAAAGGCATCAGAAATTTTAGAAAGAATGCGAATATGCACAAGCAGTCAATCTGGATGGAAAAATTTTATTAGATATAATTTAGTGGAAAAGTTCAAGAATACCCATAGAAAAACCCTCTCCTTAATCTATTCGAATCTCGGATTAAAACGACCTATGTGTCTTCCTAGATTATCAGATGATGGTATGAGTATTTATAGTGCCAGTGAAATGCCCCTTTTAGAAGGTGATAATTCAGAAAAAGAATCCGATGAGTCTAAAGATGATGAGGTCAATCCGGAATTGTCTGTAAATACGTTCGAGGAGAAATCATCGCGTCCTTCATTAGAGAGCTGCTCTCGCAGATCCAATGAGTAGTGTTCGTGTTGCATATGTTACTAATTTACTTCTTTTTATTTGAAGGTCTTCGGTTCTTTCACAATCTTGTTGCTCTGACCCTAATCAACGGGTTCTGATGCCCACAATTCCACGGTCTTCTCTGAAACATAAACGGAAATCCACTAATCCGGTTAAGAGGTTAAGTTTGCCTGCTAGTAGATCATCGGATGTAGTTGATAAAAGCAGCAAATCCAGGTTAGTCGGGGTTTGATGGGGTGCTTACTTCCCCACACACACTATTTATATGCGATAACATTTTATAACATTTTATCCTCCACTTTTCAAGACAACGGAAAACGTCGGTTTCACGGAAGTCAGCCTTGAGGAAACGTGTGCCTTCAGGTGGTGGAAAGGGGAAAAAGCAGGAGTGTAGTGTCCGGAAGACAGGAGAAGAGAAAGATGAGTCATGTTCACCTCCTCACCCTTCAGTAACTGAGACGCCCAATCCGAAAGCCTCGCTTCCACGTTGGGAACGAGCTCGAATGGCAGCTGCTGCGAAAATTAAAAATAAGGTCCGTGCCAACGGTCTTCTTATTCACATCGGACGAGATATTTTACGAATTGCATCACTAATATTGCTCAAAAGATACCCAAATTCTTGGGCATATGATAGCATCTAAAGGCAGGAAATAGTGGAGGGGTCGTGAATAAAGAATGGAGGAGGAGAAGAGGGGGGGGGGGTTGGTAAATGATTTTGTGCGTAGAAATTGGTGTGGGATAATTGTAAATCTCGTTACAAATAGTATGCTCAAATAGGGTCGTTGTATGTGTTTGATGTGCATGTGCCAAATCAGATTTGTAGAAAGCATTTTGATTAAAAGATTCTTTGCAATACGCTCTGATTCCTCTCAACTTGCCCATAACACTTTGCTGAGTTTTGTTTCAAAAATTCATTTGAAGCCTTTCATCAAAGTTGTAACTTTGTTCGCCAATAAAGTCAAGTTCAACTATCTGTGAGCGGATTGTCCAACTATGCTGCTTCGGTTTTGCTAATAAAGGTGATTCCAGGATTTAACTTTCTCAATAGTGCTATTCCTAATTCAAAAGGAGTGCTGAAGTACGTTTTCCCCACATAGGCTTTGGAATTATTATTTTGACGCTCCTTCAATGCTCCAATTTTCTGTTTTTACGAAGTGTTCGAATGGAGGGAATCGATTTAGTACAATGGCAACTGTAACCTATGTAATCTCACATCGGGTTGCATGTTGAGTTTCCTTAAATATTCGTTTAATCTCATGCTTGTTAGAGGCCTTACAATCCTTAGATAGCTTTAGAATTAGACACATCAAGAAGGTTGCTGAAATCAGTTTTCTCTCTATCTATTTGACCCTTCTCGACTGCAAATTAATAGGTTACGTAGATTATCCAAGTCACCCTTTTGCTCACCCCCCCCCCCCCCCCACGTTCCCTATTCCGAAGTCAGAAAATATTGGGGATTACAAGGCATTATATATACTGTCAATCTTTTCTATTTTGTTTATTATTTTTTTCTTCACTTCTGTGCATAGAAGGTAATCGTAGCGGAGTCGCCTTTGAAGCCAACACCATCAGGGAATGTTATCGGTAGTCCCTTGCGTCGTCTCCGGCGTGCCTCCTCATTTCTCAATTTTGGCGGTAACAATGAAGCCTCCCAATCCTCCTCCAACCTCGGAGCTCGGGCTGAACGCTATCAGAGGCGATTACAAGAGGAGGAGACCTCGTTGAGTCAATTCAGTGGTGGTGGGGAGAGTAATTCCCAATGCACACAACCACTCTCTGCGTCGAACTCGTGCTCTGATCTTCGAAGGAGGAGTTCTAATCTACTAGTCAATTTTGCCTCTCCGAAGAAGCCTACTAAACCCACTCTTCAATCTGTTGTGTCTTCACCGTCCATTCTTACTTCTTTAAAACGGAAATCAGGTGAATAGCTTTTTTTCCGAGCTTGCTATATATCACGACGCATGGTGTTTGACCTCCCTGAGATGGCCAAATCTCCATCACAGACCCATTGAATCGCTATATCAAAGTTCTAAGTCAGAATTGGCACTGAATGTTCTGCTTGTGCAAGGCTAAGAACCTGGCCGTTTATCGTAGTTTTAATTGAAGCAAAAGAGGTTTTCTGAAACTCATTTTTGTCTTGTGCTTCAGACAAAATACGGAAGAGGCATAGAGCGAGAGCGAGAGAGAGATGAACTCATATGGAGTGTAATTTCGGATGATTTTCAAGGACTTTGATGACTTTGTATTCCCCCCTATCCAACAAGAGATGAATATGCGTGGTGAGGGTTAGTGGGATTATCGGAAGTTGTAGTATCATGTTAGTGCATTAATTGAGTCTCCCTTCATTGCTGTCCAAAAGTCACATTTCATTTCTAGACCTCCAACTTTCTGGTCAAATTACTTCACCTTCTTTGGATTCATCAATTTACTAAAACCCAAGGCAGTGGCAATAGTCTTGCCTATTTCCATTACGGTAGATCAATCGCACTCGGTTAGTGGTACACAGTCCAATAGGGGGGATAGGGAAGAAAGAGGTAAGTTGGAGGGTCTGTGGCTTCATTCGATTTGGACTAATCCCCTCCTGCATTATTGGGCAAATTCCTGTGCGTCTTGTCAAGTCCCCTCTTGGGTGGTTAATTAATTCAGACGACGGTTTCTTCCATTGGTCGTATGAGCTGATATATGACAGTTGGTTGCCATCGTTACAGCCAGATTAATCCATCAACTTTGTAAGGATGCGGAAAAGTTGACAGGGCGTGGGGTGGGGTGGGGGTGGTTTACGTAGCATTGGTGCCTTTCAGTCTCATCTGGTTTTCTCTTATCCTCCTTATCTTACTAAGAGTGGGTTCGAAGGTCCTTTCTTTATTTTTTTTTTTTCCCAAGTCGACAACATGGCCTTTTGTGCCCCCTAGCGTTTTGAGTTTTGTTAAGGCATTTGTTTACTGATAATTTCTACTGCTGATATTCTCTCTCCACTACAGTCAGACCCTTCCGTCATCTCTTTGGCGATGATCCTACCTCCTCGACTGCGTTGGAACGAAGAGAGTCGGCTTCAAAACGTCAGAGGATTGACCCGGAGGGCGGTTCAATCGCCCAGCCGAGAATTTCACGCGAATTCAGCGAAAACGCCATGTTCCTCGGCGAGGACGAATTCCTACTCCACACCAATACGCCGCCTAGAATGTGGGTGAATGCGTTTAATCTTGAAGTTTTTTTAGAAGTAGAGTTCTACTCTGTTTTTTGCTCAATCAGAGTAGAATTGATTAGTAGAGAATTTAGTTTTATTTTTTATAAGAATGTATTGAATTATGGCAAAAGTTATTGCAAAGACCCACTTGGCTTGTCCATGGTATGTGATGCAAAATGAAGCTAGTAATGTAGTAATTACGCATAGACCATGACTAGTGAATGACCATCAGACAGGAACAAAAGTACACGTGATTAATAATGATAATAGACAGGCGATAGAGGGAAGACACTCAGCAGGCTAAGAACTGGTTGATGGTATTTGCTATTGTTTCCTCTTGTAGGCGAACAAGGGGTATGGATGCACACATAAGTCCAAGACGGGAAAGTGGAGTCCTGTCTCCTTCCAAAGGTGAAGGCGGAGTTCCAGTCCTCTTCAAGACGCCCACCAAGAACTTGCGAAGTGCCGCGAGTATGAGACAAGCGTCCGAGTAAGCTCCAAGGCGTGACTTTAAATAATATTTGATACATTTTTTTGTTTAATTATGAGTTTTAAATTGACACGAATAAGACTTCCAAGGTGTCGCTTATCGTGCCGATTCTTATGCTTCCGTTCTCTGTTCGTGCGAGTTGTATGCTAGGGAGTGCATCGATTGAAATTTACAGCAAGGCTGGGAATTTTTCTTTGTAGCGTTTAGTTTTGAGGATATTTCCTATTTACATCACACCCTTTGGAAAATGTGCGTCTAGAATTGTGGGGGGGGGGCTAGTTTTGGAAATATGATCCTATCGTTTTCTAAATTCAAAGCGGGCCATTAAAATGAAGGGAAAATGTTTTCATAGGTGAATGAACTTCTGAACTTAACATCACCAATCCCAGCTACAAGGTACTATCAAAGTGAAACATAGCTCTAATTGATCTCTCGGAGCCCCCCTCCCCACTTTTCTATCAACCAGAATATGTGTGCCCGATTCGTATTTCCCGTGCAATCTTTAACTTATTATCACATTCCAAATCGATGAAAGCTGTTGGCTCAGTGCTCTACTCTCTTGCTTGCATAGTTTGAGATCATTTGTCCAATGCCTATCAATGCTTATCCACTGATGTGGATGGCCAAATGCATTCCGATTAGGGAAGAGGAACCGGTGGAATATGAGGTTCAAATAATAGATGCTAAGTGCTAAACTTAAAATGTCTATGTCCGATCGATAGCTATCGGACAATTACGTATCACATTGTCATAGTATTAATATTTGCATTATGACGCCAATGACATTGGGCCTTTTTTTCAAGTACTTTAACGAGTATGATTAGTCCCTACTTAAGTGCTCTTTTATTTGAAGGCAGGAAAGCCAGTCTGACGTCCACAATCGAAGAACTCCAACCAGAAGTCAGTCGTTGCTGTCTGGTGCTCCCAAGCACCCACCGACTAGAATTTTACGAAGTGGCTTAACAGGCCAAAGAGAAGCATCAGCGTAAGTCGGAAATTTTTCTTAACTAAACCATATTTTGGCTTCACTGACGTTTGGAATCTCAGAGTTAGTTTAATGTGAGTACATCTACTACCACCTTACCCCCCCCCTCCCCTGTTGCTCCCTTCCATACTATGCAGTTAGCTTATCTCAAGTTTATTCTTTCACTCTCAAGGAATCTCAATTCGGTTAGAACATATCTTTGAAATATGGTAGAGTAGCGACGCCATTGAGTATCAGCTTTCAGAGTGCGTCAGTGTCTTTGTAATCTCTCATTCTCCACTGAGGTGATTGGGAAATATGTGCCCATCCATTTATTAACCTCAAATTTTGCAGACTGGATGTGCCAACTGTATTTCAATCCCATGGGACTCCAACTAGAAGTCAGTCATTGTTGCCCTCCTCAAGACCTGAATCTCCATTTGCTCCCAAGACTCCGACGGAAACTCGAAGTCCTGGTCCCAGCCTTCGAAGGAGGCTCAAATTCACTCCAGAGTAAGCTGTCTTTCTTCCCATTATGCTCCTTTTTCTTGTCTTATAAGGCGGCACAATTGAAGTTGATTGAATTGGATTGGTGATTAAGAGTCACAAGTGTGTGTGTTCGTCTATTGGGGGTCTTTTGTATGCCAGCTAGTTGGGAAAACTAATATTTGGTTGGAAGGGGATAAGAAATATGCCGTCTTTTACCTACTTTTACTACTGAATCACAAATGTAGGCCATTCATTTGACTTCCTTAAAGTCTCATGACCTTAATATGTCAGAATTGAGGGCAGAATTCCAAGATATGCTTTTAGTTAAGCCGCTCTGAATCAGAAAGAAGCTAATCTAGGTCTTCCATCCATTGGGACAAAATCAGCCGAAACCCATCCCAGAGCCATCAGTACTTGGTGTCTCTTAGCTTTGGAAAGCTTAATTCAACTTCCGACGCCTAAATAAGAGAGAGGGAGAGGGGAGTCCGTGCTCTCAAATGAGTGGACTTGGAAATGTGGATGGAATTTCGTGTTTTAGGCACCTATAGCACACTCTGCTTCTATGAATTGTGAATACTAGGTAATTGTTTAATTTTGGATGGGTGCTTGCGCCCAGTGAATACCCTGTTCTTCACCTCAAATTTTAGGGTCAAATACGCGTGGGTTTCTAATGGGATTCTAGCGGTTCATCTTTCCTATTATATCCGTTCTCATTGGCTTTCATATGTTCGCGACTTAAGCCACAACTTTAAGCAGTTCTCTCTCTTTTAGCCGAGCCATAATTCCTCTCACCTCTATTATTATTATTATTATTAAAATTCACCGTCTTTTTCCTTACCAGAAAAAGCATCCACAATGTCTCTGAAACCCGTAAAACTCCAGTAAGAGACCCTCAGCAATTGTTGTCGCCTATAAAGGCTAGAGTTCAACCGATTATCAAAACGGCGAGTCAAGTTCGGGGTCCTTTCATTAGTCTTCGTGATACCAGAAGTCACAAGGACATGCCCGAGTAAGTTGCCACCTTATTACGGCATCATTGTTACAGTGGTTATTTATATCAAATGACAGGCGTTTTGATAGTTATCATTAGCCCTTTAGTTGACTTCAGGCTTCACAGAGGGGAGGAGGAACATCAAAGTAACAGGAAGTTGAGGGGTGGGGAACAGAAGAGTGTTTCAAAGATGTAGAAGGGACAGACACAAAGGTAGTAAAAAGGTGAGGTGAGTACTGTGAAAGTAGTTGAATATGACATACAGTGGGGTAATGGTAGTTTGAAGTCAGAAGTCAACTGTCGGTTAATAGACTTTGTTTGCCGTATGAGGTTCATCTACGTGTTACTTCCTACTAATTATGAGTTTTATTTTGGTCGCTTTTTCGCTCTTTATCTTCCAATTTGACTCGTGTTCAGGGCACTTGAATTGGCGTTGATTTGGAATCAGGGTTTTATGAAGCACCTTGTTTTTTTTTCATAGTCACCAAACCCAGGAGAATTCTGAGACTCATAAAACCACGAGAAAGCGTCCAGCAGCAGCAGCACAGTTTCCGTCGCACGGCGGAAATCAGTCGCCCCCTAAAACGCCTACCAAGAAACAAATTCTACGTAGTCCTATTAGTCCTGAAGCTGGTGGTACAAGTCTGCCTGACCCTTCAGAGTAAGTTTTGAAAAAATTGTAAACGATTCTTCCATTATGTATCGATGAGTTATGTGGGTATAAGGTGTTTGGGTTAGATATGCGAGGAAGAAGTAAGTCGAATAACAATTGTGGTACCATTGAACTCGTCCAATAGTCTGCTCTCATGAGGTATTTTCAATTCTAGGCTTTGGGATTTATGAATTCCTTTAGTTTTATAGGTGCTTTTTCGGTACAGCGCTCGGCAATGTCTCATTCTCCTATGACACTCATCACTGCATTTTTTGCGTGGTAATATCCCTCCTTGTCTTAGGGAATGCATTTCCTGATCCGATAGCCTAATTCGAGAAAAGTTCCAAGGCGTTGCTCTCTCTCTTTGCGTGCGTTATTGTTGTCCGCTCAAAGTGAACTGCCATGAGTGTGTCTCTACGACAGATGTTGTTGTGACTTAACAATAAACTGAGCATACATTCATCCACCAGTCTCTCAGCTAGAGATTATTTTGCCAGGTGGGGGGGGGGGG